TGCCTCCTAGTACTCCTGCCCTTTATATCCTCCCCCTCCAATTGAATCTAAACTGAGTTGTGAGTTGCTTTACCAAAAAGAATGCTTCAGAAGTGACTCTGTGCTACTACCAGGCCTGAGCCTTAGGAAGACATGAATTCCAGCTGCTCTGCCAGACAGACTGTGTGGAGTGAAGGGACTTTGAGATTACATGGAGAAGGCAAATTGCCAGAGGTTTTTAGCCCCAGCATCCTTAAAATCAGAGAATATTTCCTAGTTTTAGGCAGAGAAAAAGGTGTAAACACAAAAGAATGGTTAGAGAAAGCCAAATGCAATGGTGCACACCTGTAATCCCAGCAGCTCAGAGGCTGAGGCAGGAGGATCGCCAGTTCAAAGTCAGTCTCAGCAATTTAGTGAGGCCTGAGCAACCAGAGAGATCTTGACTCAAAATAAAACATAAAAAGGACTGGTGATGTCATTCAGTGGTTAAGCATCCCTGGGTTCAATCCCTGGTACCAAAAGAAGAAGAAGAAAAAGGAGGAAGAGGAGGAGGAAGAGGAGAAAAAACAGAATCAGAAGGGTGAGGGAGAAACAACGCTTGCTTATGGCTCAGAAGATGGAGAAATGGGACCAGGAGCCAATGAATAAGATCAACTTCAGAAGCTGGAAATGGCAAAAATGTATTCTGTACCCTAGGGCCTCCAGGAAGGAATACAACCCTGTCAACACCTTGATTTTAGCCCAGTGAGACCCTTATCAGACTTTTTTTTAATGTTAAATCTTTTTTTTAAGTTGTGAATGAACCTTTATATATATATATATATATATATATATATATATATATATATGGTGCTGAGAATAGAACCCAGTGCCTCACACATGCTAGGCAAGTGCTCTACCACTGAGCTACAACCCCAGCCCCTGTGTCAGACTTTTAATTCTCAAAATTGTGAGATAATAAATTTGCATTATTTTAAGCCACTAGGTAATTTGTTATATCAGCATCAGAAAACACATACACTAGCTAATCTATAATGTCCCCTGCAGCTAATCAGAGCAACAGAGAACTGATATGTATTAATTCTTTTACCCAAAGGTGCTTCCCATACAACTATTATATTTACTGTGGCTTGATCATGGTATCATTGGCTGATACTAAGCAGTACTATGAAACTCTGTGTGGCTTTTGCCATAATAATGCCATTGAGGAAGAGTTCGTTTACAACAGTGTACCCTCCATGACAGAGGAGGAATTTATTTGTGGTCTTTGTATATGGAAGAGAGAGACTCCAGTTTGGGTTTCCCTCTTCACACTGGCTCCTAGGAAGCTTAGAGGTGTTAATCTCAAACAATGGCATCTTATTTATTTATTTTTTTTTTTAGAGAGAGAATTTTAATATTTATTTTCTAGTTTTCAGCGGACACAACATCTTTGTTTGTATGTGGTGCTGAGGATCGAACCCGGGCCGCAGGCATGCCAGGCGAGCGCGCTACCGCTTGAGCCACATCCCCAGCCCAAACAATGGCATCTTAGGTGGTAGAACTATCAGAATCACCAAGGCAGGTTTTGCAAACTACACTTGCAAACCCCAGATATTCCAATTTATTTCCCCAGAGGGAAGCATTCTCCTTCTTCCAACAAGATCCATTGCTTTGTGTTTTTGTTTTTGTTGTTGTTGTTGGTTGGTTTGTGTTTTGCAGTGCTGGGGATTGAACCCAGGGATACTCTGCCACTGAGCTCATCCCCAGCCCTTTATATTTTTTTTATTTTGAAACAGGGTCTCCCTAAGTTGCTGAGGCTGCCAAGCAGTTTGTAGGTAGGACTATCATAGCATGTGTGTTTTACATCAAGCACACCCACTCTTCTTTCCTACCTTGGTTTGCCCATTACCTCTTTTTATGAATGACTTCTATGTCCTTGGGGGGGCAGACACCTACAGAAGCAGTATTATGGTTTATATAGGAGTTGTCCCCCAAAAGCTAACATGTGAGACAATACAACGAAGTTCACAAATGAAACAATTAGATGAGCATTATAACCCAATTTGTGGATTAATCCCCTGCTAGAGTTTAATTGGATGGTAACTAAAGGCAGGTAGAGTGTGGCTGGAGGATATAGGTCACTGGGGGAGTGCCTTTGGGGGTTATATATTGTCTCTGGTGAATGGAACTCTTCTCTGCTTCCTAGTGCCATGCTCTGAGCTTCTTTATTCTGCCATGCCCTCATGATGTGCTACCTCACTTCAGGCCCAGAGCAATGGAATAGGTCACATATGGATGGAGACATCTGAAACAGTGAGTTTCAAATGAACTTTTCCTCCTTTACACTGTTCTTACCAGGTTTTTTGGTCACAGCAATGAAAGAGTTGACTAACACAAGCAGCAAGTTGACTGAGTACCTAAGGAGACTTATAAACCCCTGAATAGTGTTAACAAGTCTGAAACTGTTAACACCATTTGCTGTAGACCATTCTAGGATACCAAGATTAGCAACTGAGACAGGCATGCAAGGCAGGCACTCTACCAACTGAGCTAAAACCCCTGCACACCTGTAATCCCAGTGACTCAGAATGCTGAGGAAGAAGGATCATGAGTTCAAATAGAGACTTAGCAAATTAGCAAGGCCCTAAGCAACTCAGCAAAACTCCGTCTCTAAAATATAAAAAAGGGCTGGGGATGTGGTGTGGTGGTTAAGCGCCCCTGGGTTCAATCCCCACAGCTGCTGAAGCTGTGGCAGGAGAATCACTTGAGCCCACAAATCTGATAGTTTGAGCAACAGAGTGAAACCTCAACTCAACAGCAATTGAATCCAGTCAATTGCTGTCTTTATTTCCTCCTTCCTTTCTCACTTCCCATTTTCCTCACTGTGGCTGCTGCTCTGGGATTGCACCTCTCAATAAAGTTCAAACATGCAGGGTTTAGGATTTAGCTCAGTTGGTAGAGTGCCTGCCTTGCAAGCACAAGGGCACAGGCTCAATCCCTGAGACCACAGGAAAAAAAAAAAGTTCAAGGGCTAGGGTTGTGGCTCAGTGGTAGTGCACTCACCTAGCACATGTGAGGCCCTGGGTTTGATTCTCAGCACCACATAAAAATAAGTAAACAAAATAAAGGTATTGTATCCAACTACAACTAAAAAATAAATATTAAAAAAAAAAAGTTCAAGCATGCAGGCTCTGTCTAGGCCTGTTTTCTAGGCAAATTAGACTAGTAGAGTAATATTATTATTAGTTTATATTATTGGTGAAAAATAGATATTCATATTGTGTGGGTATTTCTCATTGACCCATCATTTCCACTCTCTAACCTCTTCCATCTTGATTTATTCCTTGCAGAGAACATGGACCAGATCATGAGCTTTACTGTGATTTGAACATACCCCCTAAAGTTCATGTGTGGAAAACTTAATCCCCAATGGAATAGTGTTAAGAGGTGGGACCTAGGCCAGTGTGGTGGTGCACACCTGTAGTCCTGGCTACTGAGGCTGAGGCAGGAGAATCACTTGAGCCCACAAATCTGATAGTCTGAGCATCAGAGCAAAACCTCAACTCAATGGCAATAAGGCAGAAGAGGTGGGACCTTTGAGAAGTGATTAGGCCATGAGGGTGGCACCCTCATGAATGGATTAATGCTGCTTATAAAAGAACTTGAGGCCTACAGTTTAATATTCTCTCTCTCTCTCTCTCTCTCTCTCTCTCTCTCTCTCTCTCTCTCTCTCTCTCCTCTATCTCTATGTCTTTTTGCCTTCCACTGTGGAGTAACACAGCAAGAAGGCCTTTGCCAGATGCTGGCACCTTGGTATTGGGCTTCTAAGCTTCCAGAACTGTGAAGAATAAATTTCTTTATAGATTACCCAATCTGCAGTACTTTGTTATTCTAAGATAGGCTCCCCAGCACTCTGGCTTCTGGTAGGTATCAGACAATGAGAGGAGCTGGTAGGTGATCAGAGGATGGGAAAGAGTGAGATGGAAATTTTTCTTTCCAAGCTCCATCCCTGCTGGGTCAGACTGAGAAAAGCTGCATTTCTCTACTGAAGGCCACAGCTCCTACTGGCAGGCTGTCCCCTAAAGCTGCAATTCTAAGTGCCAGAAACTGCTCCCTCTCTCCACCCCTTTGGGCCACCAGGTATCAAGGGCTCTTCATTACTACTAGTCCCAGGTGCTGCACCATCCTTTGATGGTTTCCCTTAATCCTGCGGATTCCTCTGTAAATAGTTCCTTCACTAAACTCTCCTAAATTCCTCTTTGAGGAGTCATGTTTCTCAAATGGGCTTTTAATGATATACAGTACAGAGAAGTTGAGTGACTTTCCTAAGGTCACACAAAGGGTACGTGACAGATCACCTGAGAGTCCCCACGCTAACACAGAGAAAGGTAGAGTCTTTTTCGGCCTTGCCAGCCTGCCCAGCCCCCTCTTGGAACCCTGATGCCTTGCCTGACCTGCTGAAATCTGTGATCCTTTTGTTGGGATAGGATTGAATTCCCCTGAGCTCTTGTCTCAGACCTGGCCAGCAACACCAGTAACCAGAGCTGTGTGAGAAGAAAAGGCCAAACCATTGGGGCAGCCACACCCCAAAGAGAGGTGAGGTCTCGGGTGAGTAATGCCAATGAGGGGCCTCTTCCCCTGTCCCAAGGGTCACTGCTCACCCAAGCCCTGCTTCACCAAGGACCTAGTACACAGACTCCCAACTCCCGGCTGTCCTCTTCTTTGACCTCTGCCTATAGTTTTCTCCAATTCTCCCTCCCCCCCAACAAGTGTCCTGGAGCTAGGGCTCCTTCCCCCACCCCCAACCTAGGACTTCAGAGATGTGAGATACTCTCAGAGGTCTGGGTGGGGACTTTAGGCTCCCCATTTCCTTCTTCCAGCCCCAGATCCTCTCAGATTCCCAGAGATGGGCTCCAGCCAGGGAGGGTGGGACTGCTCTTGGGACTATTAGGAGTCACAGGATGCCAAGGCAGTGACAGAGCTGTGGCAGGAAGCAGATCTTCACCCATCTCTGTACCTCCAGCTGACTCTAGTGTGCCATGCCCCAGCACCTGTTTCTCCCACTTGTGATCTTCGGTAACCTCAGGAGATAGGGGACAGTGGCAAGGGGGGCAGGATGCTAGCACCTGGCAGACTGTGAAGCAGGATTCCCAGGTTCTGTTTAGAGAGTGAGAGGTCAGAAGGGGAGGGGATGCCATGTCAGAGGAGAAAGGAGGAGGGGATGTCAGAAGAGGGAAGGGAGATATCAGAAGGGAGACGAACAGTGTATCACAGGAGGGAGAAAGGAGGCCCAGATGCCAAAGTCAAAGAGCAGCTGTGAAACGGAGGAGGGAGTCAGGGAGGACACCTACTAAGTGCAGCTCTCCAGCCTCTTCTTGCCTCCTGTCTTCCCAGCCATCAATCCCATCCCAAGAGCCTTCCAGGACTCAGGTAAGGCAGCTGAACTGGGGGAAAGTCATGTGCAGAAGCAGGAAAGTTAGGCTGGGTAGCGTAGGTGTTGGCAGTGGGACTGAAAGGACAGGGAATTGGGAAGGTAGGAGTTGGGTGGAGAGGAGGAAGAAGATCGGGCCTGGGCAGTGTCAGGTGCTGGAAGTCACCAATTATCTACCTCTTTTTACCCTCTGGTTTCCAGCTCTCAGTCCTACAGAAGAACCTGAATATCTGGGTAAAGAAAAGGAAGCCTGGGTGTCCTCTGATCTAAAAAGACCTTATGGCTGGCTTGACCCAGCATTTCCACTCTGAGGGAGGTGGAAGTGCCGGGAAATTCAGAAGTACCTAGGTTCTCCAGGTTCTTGGTTCAGATGGGCAAACAGAAGCTGGGTGGAGTACTGGGCTCTGTCCTGAGTTACCTGGGCCTCTGCAGTAGGGGATCATTAGGTGGGTTTTGACCTCCCAGGGTTCCCTATTGCAGACTGTGGGCACCCTGAGCCCTCTGCCCGCATCATGGGGGGCTCAGACACTCAGCCAGGAACCTGGCCTTGGCAAGTAAGCCTGCATCAAGGCAGGGGCCACATCTGCGGAGGCTCCCTCATCGCCCCCTCTTGGGTTCTCTCTGCTGCTCACTGTTTCGTGATGTGAGTATTGCCCACTCAGTCCCTGTCCTTCAAAGGCCAACCCCACCCCACAGCTTTATCCCTCACCCTGTTCCCCCTTATTACGGCTAATTTATAGCGGAGCTGCTCCAGCTTCCTCTCTCTGTCCCCCAAACTAGGTGCTCTGCGAGGTTATGGGTAAGGGAGATGCTGGGTAAGGGAGGCCATTGTCACCAGACTCATTCCACCACTCCGCTAAATATCACTGAGACTGAATCTCACTTTTACAAAATCCCCAGTCACCACTTCTAAATCAGTCTCACCCCTCCTCTTTTAGAAGTCTGTCTCAACCTCTCAGCCCCAAATCTGAATCTGACTCCGTCCCACCCGGGTACCCACTGACCTCACCACCTCCTCCAGCTCTGAACCCTCATCCACAAGCGGGTCAACCCCTTTCATAGGGTTAACCTAATCCAGGCCCCCCCCACCACCCCCTCATGGCCTCTACACAGGAACGGGACCTTGGAGCCCGCGTCCGAGTGGTCGGTGCTGCTGGGCGTGCACTCCCAGGACGGGCCCCTGGAAGGTACACATGTCCGCTCCGTGGCCGCTATCCTGGTGCCTGACAACTACAGCAAAGTGGAACTTGGCTCCGATTTGGCCCTGCTGCGCCTGGCTTCGCCCGCCAAGCTGGGCCCCACCGTGCAACCCATCTGCCTGCCGCGAGCCTCGCACCGCTTTGTTCACGGCACCGCCTGCTGGGCCACCGGCTGGGGGGACGTGCAGGAGGCAGGTGAGTGGGGCGGGGCCGGGCGGGAGACGTCGACGTCGGAGGGTCTGAGCCTACCTTAAGATCATCAGAGGAACCGCGGGGGCGTGTCTTAAAAGTTGGCTCTCGCAAGTGGGCGGGTCCCGAGGGCGGGACTCCAGAGAGCCCTCCCGAAACGCCCCAAGGGGCTGCGTTTCTGCTAGACAGCTGGAAAATTTGCATCTCTCTCCATCTAGCCTCTTCCCGGGTAATTCTCAAACTAAGACTACTGAATCGCCTACACACCCCGTTCCCGCCTCACCTTCCTTCCAGGTTTTCCTTTTCTGGATTTAGGTCCAACTAAGGTTCCCGCTCTGACTCTGCTAGTTCAGACAAAGCATTTCTCCCAGTACATTTTCTCTCCTGTAAAAAAAGGAAAACAGTAGTGTTCACTTCATGGGGTAATTGTGTGGATTAAACGGGAAAATGCGCGAAAAGCTGCATTGCTAGAATTAATTCATTTTAGATATTTTTGCATTACATAATCCGCGTTAAAGCACCAAAGCATAACACCTGGCATATAGTAGGCGCGCAGCAAATGTTTTTGTTCTCTTTTCCTCCCATCCTTCTTCCCCCCCCCACTCATCTTCCAACTTCTCACCGCCTGTCTTCCTCCTCCCACCTTCATTCATTCAATCATTCTGTTGATTAGGATACTCCTATGTACCAGGCATTGTTTTAGGCATTAAAGATATACCAGTGAAACTGGGTGCTGTGGCACACACCTGTAATTCCAGAGACTCACTGAGGCAAGAGGTTCTCAAGTTCGAGGCCAGCCTCAGCAATTTAGAAAGACCCTAAGCAACTTAGCAAGGCCCTGTCTCAAAATTAAATAAATAAATAAAAGGACTGAGAGGATGCAGCTCAGTGGTAAAGCACCCCTGGGTTCAACCCCCAGTACAAATGTGTGTGTGTGTGTGCCAGTAAACACACACACACACACACACACGCACACACAAAATTCTGCTTTCTCAGCTTGCATTCTAGTAAGTAGACAAAAAAGTAAATCCAGTAAACAAGCAAACACTGTGATAGAAGGTGTGAGGGAACACACTACTTTTCCATTCTCTGTCATCTCCATCACCCATTGTTAGCTTTCCATGCTAGAAAGCCCCCAATATCTGCTATGATCAAACTGTGCCAGTTCTGGAGTCTTTGGGAGGGTGCTGCAGGAGGAGATGCTATAATCTCTATTTGCATGGGCCCCATTAGGGCAGGAGGTGACAAGGAAGTCCTCATGAGCACCTAGACATGCATGGACATGACCAAGCTACCAGACAGTGGGGCCCCAGAGCAGGGGCTTTCTAGGAAGGTTTTATGAAGAGAGCATGTATTTCAGAAAGACAGGGGAAGATGATGGCCATCTTCCCTTGGGACCCTGGAAAGGCCAGGACATCATGCTAGAGTGAAGGGTGCTGAGACAATAAAGGTCTTCAGGTCAGACTGAGGGACAGAGTAGCCCTCCAGCTCCAGAGATCCCTAGGACAACCCCCAAATCTCAGACATCACCTGACTTCTCAGAACTCGGGTGGGTAGGGAATGAGTTCTGTCCATGCCTTTCCCTGTCCTTTTCTGTATCCCAAAACTTTGTTTCCATCAAAAGCAGGATAGCTGAGGGTCCATGTCTAGACCACAGGATCCATCTATTATTCTTGGTAGGATCAGGGCTAAGCTGAGAAACATTCCTCTGGTTGTAACAAGTGCTGAGTGGATTAGGGAACAGATCAGTCAGGAGACTAGGTCAATCATCCAGGTCCAAGATTATGCTGCCTGAACTAGGGTAGTTGCTGTAAGAATGCTGAGAAGTCACAAATGACTTGGGAATTGACTGAGAAAAGACAGCTTGAGAAAGGGATTAGAGATGACAGCCAGATTCCATGCTTTACAACTCAATATAGGACCACATGTGGTCTATATGACATCTTTGTTCAAAAGATGCACTTTCTGGACCAATAAAACTCCATGTCAGGGCTCAGAGCTTAATGATTTTAGCCCCTACATGTATACTTTGTTGGCTGGGACCTTTGTTCAGTGTACAACCTGCACATGACAATTCTCACTGGATGCTTGCTGAGGCTATGCCTGAGATGAGAACATGGGAAGAGAAGCATGAGAAGATGTGGTGAATGTGGTAGGCCAGGGTGCCATGGGGATCTTGATGACCAGGAGGTAGCTGGAGGAGACAAAACAGCCCTGGGGAACTGGGTGCTCTATACCTACCTCACAGTATCTGCTCTCTGCTTCTGCCCGCAGACCCTCTGCCTCTCCCCTGGGTGCTACAGGAAGTAGAGCTAAGGCTTCTGGGAGAGGCTGCCTGTCAGTGTCTCTACAGCCAGCCTGGACCCTTCAACCTCACTTTCCAGCTATTGCCAGGGATGCTGTGTGCTGGTTACCCAGAGGGACGGAGGGACACCTGCCAGGTGAGGAAAGGTCCCTGCACCTACCTGGCAGAATCAGATCCCTAACCTGTAGGAAGCAGCTAAGCAATAGACAAATATTTCTCTGAGCCTCTTCTGCAAAAAGCGGGCAAGATTGCCTATGGAATTGGGGTGGAGGTATAGTTCAGTGATAGAGCACATGCCTAGCATGCACAACACTCTGCATTCAATCCCCAGTACTTCCAAAAAAAAAAAATAAGTTTTGCCAGGCACAGTGGTACAGCCAGTAATCCCAGTAGCTCAGGGTTAGGGTTAGGGTTAGGGTTAGTCCCTAAAAAAAAAAAAAAAAAAAATTCCCAGCACTTGGGAGGCTGAGGCAGGAGGAACACAAGTTTTAGGCCCAGCAATTTAGCAAGACTCTAATAATGAAAAATAGAATAGGATGGGGTTGTACCTCAGTGGTATAACACCAAAAATAAAAATCCCAGCACCAAAAACAAACAAATATCCTTAGGCCACAGAGATGCTGACCCTGACCTGGGTTACAGAGATACATTAGGGGCAATGCTTCAGCATCCAATGACCCCAGTGTCTGCTCATTGTAATTCTTCATCCTTTTTGCTTTCCATCTGTCCCATTTTACTGAATAGACAGATTGCCTGTTTCTAACAGCATCTTCCTCCTTAATGCTGGTATTTTTTATTTACTTTTTTAACAACTGGGTGGGGGCTCAGTGGCAGAGTGAATGCTTAGCATTTGTTAGGCCCTGAGTTCTAGTCCCAGCACCACAAAGAAACAAAAAGCAAAGACAAAATTGAGTGAACTTAGAAATCAAAGATAAGGGTTTATTTGGATTATTTGTTGGACAAGAATCATTAGACTCTGAATGAGATCTTCAGGGTTCTCTTGTGTGGGTTTTTTTGGGGGGATGGGTGGGGGTACCGGGGACTGAACTCAGGAACACTTGACCACTGAGCCACGTCCCCAGTCCTATTTTGTATTTTATTTAGAGACAGGGTCTCGCTGAGTTGTTTAATGCCTCACTTTTGCTGAAGCTGGCTTTGAACTCAAGATCCTCCTGCCAGCCTGCTGCGGCCGCTGGAATTACAGGCTTGCACCACTGCCCCTGTGCTTGTGTGGTCCTTAATGGGTTAATTTGGTGCTCTGGGCTGTGGCTGCTCAGTCTTGGTTTTACAAGGCTTTCTTTTCTTTAGAGGTGTAGGGAATACAGAGAACAAGGGACAGCCACTGGAGATTTCTAGAAGGGGCTGAGTAAGGCCAATAAAAGGTGGAGAACCTTTGCCACCCGCCAGAATAAGCCAATGCATCCTTGGGCTGGTCCCCCAACACAAATCACCTATTATTAGGGTGACTCTGGGGGACCCTTGGTCTGTGAAGAAGGTGGCCGCTGGTTCCAGGCAGGAATCACTAGCTTTGGCTTTGGCTGTGGAAGGAGGAACCGCCCTGGAGTCTTCACTGCTGTGGCTCCCTATGAGACATGGATCCGGGAACAGGTGATGGGTTTGGAGCCTGGGCCTGCCTTTCCCAACCAGCCCCAGGAATCCCAGACAGGCCCCTGGGAATCCAGGGAGGAGAACTGCACCATTGCCCTGCCAGGTGAGGGGGCAGGAGCCCTGGATGGGAGTTGGAGACTGGGGAGATTTGAGTTGGGGTGAAGTCTGCTGGTGTTAAGTAGGACTCTGAAGCCTCCCTAACCTTGCTTGGTCTCTCACTCCTCAGAGTGCGGCAAGGCTCGGCGACCAGGGGTCTGGCCCTGGGAGGCCCAAGTTATAGTGCCAGGATCCAGAACCTGCCATGGAACGCTAGTATCAGAAAGCTGGGTCTTGGCACCTGCCAGCTGCTTTCTGGAGTGAGTGAGAATCCACAGCATAGGGAGATTCTTGCCTCTCCATCCATCCACATGATACTCCATCTAGTTGGTTCAGCCCTTTGTGCCGGGTGTGGAGGGTGGGGGGTGGGGCTGCATTCTGGAGCGCGGGATCAGATTCCAAGGTGTAGGATTCAGCTCATAAAGAGGAGTCCTAATCTAGCTGGGAGGGGAAAAGGGTAGTGTACGTCCGATCCAGCATGCGGGAGTCTGAGAACACGTTTCGAACTGGGGTGGGGCTATGGTTCCTGTTTGGAAGAGGGATTCTAGCCTGGAGATAAAAATCAAAGTCTGGGGTGCGCGGTTTCCAGCCGTATGTGCGGTATATGCGCACGTCCCCAGCGTCTCCATCCCGCAGCTCGATCACTTCTGATAACCCACCCCGCGACCTCGACTCCTGGCGGGTACTGCTGCCCTCACGTCCGCGCTCGGAGCGGGTGTCGCGCTTCGTACCGCACGAGAACGCTACGTGGGACGACGCCTCAGACCTGGCGCTGCTGCAGCTGGACGCGCCCGTGAACCTGAGCTCAGGCCCGCGCGCCGTGTGCTTACCCTACCCGGAACACTACTTCCTGCCTGGGAGCCGCTGCCGCCTGGCTCGCTGGGGCCGCGGGGGTGCGCAGGAGTCTGGCGCTGGTTGGGGCGGGGCAGAGCGGGGACAGACTCGGCCACAGCACGAGATCCCTGCTTTTTCCCCTCCCAGAACCGGCGCTTGGCCCCGGCGCTCAGCTTGAGGCCGACTTGTTAGGTGGCTGGTGGTGTCACTGTCTGTATGGACACAAGGGGGCGTCAGTGCCGCTGCCGGGACAGTCACCTCACCAACTCTGCCCCTCCTACCAGGAGGAGGAGGAGCCGGGCCGCTGCTGGGTGAGCGACAAGGGCGAAGTCTGTGGCCCCTGGGAGAGACTGAGAGATCTGAGGGCGGGGCGTGAGGCACAGGAAACCTGGCTAAGAGCGGGAATGGGATCCAAATGGGGGCGGGGATATCGAATTGGGGGCGGAGCCGGATCCTGGATGGTAGGGAGGGTGTTGGGGCGGACTCTGAGCAGGTGTTGGGGTTTCTGTCTACCCCAAAGTTTAAGGAGAATCCTAAAGTGAGGGCTGAATTCTTACACAAATTAGTATTGGAATCTAGTTTGGAAGAGGTGGGACTTGTTATGTTTCCGTATGGAGAATCTGGGGTTCCGGAAAGCCCCTGGAATGCTGATGTTCTCTACAGGATAAAAACATGTATGCTATTAACACACCTTACTCTTGCTGCAGAATGACTCTCATTGGAGCCTTATGTGTCGGGAGGAGGGGACCTGGTTCCTGGCTGGAATTGGAGACTTCTCCAGTACCTGTCTCCGTCCCCGAGCCTTCTCCCCACTGCAGACCCATAGCCCATGGATCAGCCATGTAACTCGGGGAGCCTACCTGGAGGAACAGCTAGCCTGGGACTGGGGCCCTGATGGGGAGGAGACTGAGACCCAGACCTGTCCCCCACACACAGAGCATGGTGGTGAGCAGGGGACCCTTGGAGCTTTGGAGTTCCAGGAGGTGCTTATATCTATGAGAGAGGCTTCAGAGATCACCTGTGGAACTCATACTTAGGTGGCCACTTCTTCTCCCTAGCCTGTGGCCTGCGACCTGAGGCAGCTCAGAAGGGAATGCTATGGCCCTGGCTGGCAGAGGTGCATGTGGCTGGGAATCGAGTCTGCACTGGGATCCTCGTGGCCCCAGGCTGGGTCCTGGCAGCCACTCACTGTGTCCTTAGGTAGGTCTCTCTCATCTCTAGGTAAGAGGCTGGAGGGAAAAAATGGGAGATGATCCAAAGGATTCTTACAATAGCGGGATGTTTTCCTTTTAGGGCTCTTACAGCACAGGGAAACTACTTTGAGAGACTTTTATTGTCAGTTTGGTGGGTTTGGATTTTTTGTGTGAGATGGTTTAAGATAGAAGAGAGATTTGGAAAGAGGGATAATGAAGGAGTTAGTGACATAACCATTCTTCCCTTACCCCTGGGCTGGAAAGGACTTTACCAGCAATGAGAGGAACCAGAAGGTGACACTAGTCCTTCTTCCAACAGGCTAGGCTCTACAACAGTGCCCCACATTGAAGTGTATCTGGGCAGGGCAGGGGCCAGTCCCCTCCCACACGGCCGCCAGGTATCCCGGTTGGTCATCAGCATTCGCCTGCCCCGGCACCTGGGACTTGGGCCCCCTCTGGCCCTCCTGGAGCTGAGCTCCCGGGTAGAGCCTTCCCCTTCAGCGCTGCCCATCTGCCTTCACCCAGGGGGTGTCCCTCCAGGGGCCAGCTGCTGGGTGCTGGGCTGGAAGGATCCCCAGGACCGAGGTGAGAGCCCTGGATCATGGGAATGAGGAGTGACTGGAGGCCAGAACCCTGGAACAACCCTCTTTCTTCTCTCCAGTCCCTATAGCTACTGCTGTCTCCATATTGACACCACGGCTCTGTCACTGCCTCTATCAGGGCATTCTGCCCCCTGGGACTTTCTGTGTCCTATATGCAGAAGGGCAAGAAGACAGGTGTGAGGTACAGGGACCTAGGCATCCTGGTCAGGGGAAGGAGTATTGGGATGCTGGAACCTGGAGAGACCAGGATTAGAATTCTTGGGTGTTGGACCCCAAATGGGAAGAAGCAGTACTTCCTAGCTGGACCTTGGAAAGATCAGAGGCCAGGATTCCCAAGGGTAGAGACCAATAGTGCTTTGTGGCTGGACCCAAGGGAAGGTACAGTGGACCAGGAGGAAGGATAACAGATCCATTTGTTCTTGGCTTCAACTCTGCAGGTGACCTCAGCACCTCCCCTCCTATGCCAGACTGAGGGAGGCTCTTGGGTTCTCATGGGCATGGCTGTCCGAGGGAGTCAGGAGCTGTTTGCAGCCATTGGCCCTGAAGAAGCCTGGATCTCCCAAACAGTGGCGGAGGCCCATTTCCTACCCTCTAGTGGCTCCCCATATTGGCCCACTACAGGCAGTGACCTCTGTCCCCCAGACATGGCAGGGGCCTCAAGCTCCCCTAAGGCTGCTGCTTTGATCCTGCTGTTACTGACTCCCCTGATCCAGGATTGAGAGGACCTTGCTTCATGAGCCACTTCCCCTTCTCTTCCCACCACTCAGCATGCCTGGAATGTAGTCTAACCTGCTAACTCTCTCCCAGGCCTGGAGAGGGCCTATCTATCTAGACTGCAGCAGCTTTGGATAATTGGGCCTCAGTGCTATTTTGGGCCCAGGAATCCTTGGGGGTGGCAGAGGAGCAGACAATAAAGGTGTAAACACAGACATGTGGCCTGTGACATCACTAAGGGCAGGCTGAGGGGCTGAGAGCAACTGGGCTAAGAGGGAAACACAGGAATAGGGCTCCTCCCTCTACGGGCATCAGTTGAGTCAGGTCTTGGGCGCCCAGGAAATGTGTCCCTGATAACGTGGCAGCTGTTCCCTCATTCCTTCCCCAGGGCGGGGGAGTTTAGGTGGCCAGCTGATTGTGTGTCACCTCCCCAGTAGAATTAGTGTCCCTAGCACCTGTAGCATATTTTGGCCCTAGACAGTGCCCTGAGGCCCCTTAGGGTAGGAGAGCCAGCCCCTAATACATACACTAATGAATGATGCCTCAAAGTGTTCATCTCCAGTCCCCAGCAAACAAACGACCCCAACATACAGACAATCCTTATACAGGGTCCACTACTTGTATATCCATGCTCAGTGCTCCTAGGATTTGGGCCCCTTTTATGTAAATTCTACTACCTCATCCCTGACTAATGTACATCCCTGAATTAATTCAGCCATATTCCCTGCTAACCTCCAAGTCATGGTGCAATTGGAGTCTGATATATAAGTCCATGTATGTTCACAGTCAAGTGGGAAACACCCCTGGCTGGGGATCAGGAGAGGGTTATAAAGAAAGTGAGCTATGAGCATAGAAAATGGAAAATAGGGACCTGAGGAGAAGTCAGCTGATGTGGGTGGCAGAGAGGTCACTCCTGGAGCTAGGGCCACAAAAACTCTAGTTGTGTAGGCAGATAATGCAAGAGGGGTTGGCAGAGCGGGCACAGTGGTGCACACCTGTACCTTGGGAGGCTGAGACAAGAGAATCGTGAGTTCAAAGCCAGCCTCAGCAACAGTGAGGTGCTAAGCAACTCAGGGAGACCCTGTCTCTAAACACGATGCAAAATAGGGCTGGGAGAGTGGCTCAATGGTCAAGTACCCCTGAGTTCAATCCTCAGTACCAAAAAAAATAAAAACAAGGTGCTAAGCAACTCAGTGAGACCCTGTCTCTAAATTAAAAAAAAAAAAAAAAAAGGGCTGGGAATGTGGCTCAGTGAGTGTACCTAAGTTTAATCCCCGGTCCCCCCACCCCAAGAAAAACGGGGTTGGCAGGACTCAGAGGAAAGGTGGAAATTCTCACTGGGAGCTTGAGAAGGGCAAAGATTCTTAAAGGACCAGGCTTATTCTTAGCTGCTAGATATAACATAAAATATTCCCCAAGTCCTCCACAGGGAAGGACATTCCCATCTGTTCTTCAAACCCAGTCAGCTACTCACATGCCACCCCCAGAAACACTGAACATGCCCATCCTCTACTTAAAGCTTCCCACAACTCCCAGTGTCTTACCCTCTCCTCCCCAGTTTCGACCTCTTCCCAATCCAGCGCCACACACACACACACACACACACACACACACACATGCTCACCGACTCCAGGAATTCTCTGACCACCAGCCTGGGCATCCAGACTTCTGGAAAGAGGGTTGGGAAGAAGTTGGGTCTGTTTTTCTTTTGGTACTATGGATCGAACCAAGGGATGGATACTTTACCACTGAGCTATATCCCTAGCCCTATTTATTTATTTATTCAGGTACTGGGGATTGAACCCAGGAGTCCTTCACCATTGAACCACACCACTAGTCTAAAAAGGACTATTTTATTTTGAGACAGGGTCTTGCTAAATTGCTGAGACTGGTTTTGAACTTGCAATCCTCCTGCCTCAGCCACTAGGATTTAAAGGTGTGCACCACCACACTCTGCTTTTTATTTTTTGAGATAGGGCCTTGCTAAATTGCTTAGGACCTCTCTAAGTTTCTGAGGCTGGCCTCGAACTTGCAATCCTCCTGTCTCAGCCTCTAGAGTCCACAGGATTATAGGCATGCATCACCACACCCCATGAGGGTCTGCTTTTCCTCAGTCTTGAGTCCAACCTATATTCCAAGTGCTATAGATTCACACTCACAGAGGATGTGCCTGACCCCAACTCCAGTCACACCAGTCTTCTTTCCCTGAACCTCAGCCACCTGCATGCCCCACTTGAGAAATTTTTCCATACTTGTCTTGTTAACAAATTTGCTTAGGGGCTGGGGTTGTGGTAGAGTGCTTGCCTAGCATGCAGGAGGCACTGGGTTCGATCCTCAGCACCACATAAATGTAAAAATAAAGATATGGTGTCCACCTAAAACTAAAACATAAATATTAAAAAAACAAACAAAAACTTTGCTTAACCCCCATAGGTCTCTGTTCTCAAGGCATTTCCAAGAAGGACCTTTCCAGCTACTGGGCACTCAGGCCAGTCCCCATTTTTGTCCATCACATAGTAGGTAGTTAGTAAATACTTGTGGGATGATTGGCAAGGCCAGTCATAGTCACCACCGGCAGGAAGTCTGAGGGTTTAGAGAAAAGGCCTGGAATGGCCCTGGCCCAGGGCAGACCCCAGTGTTCTAGGTTAAAATACCAGGCCTAAGGAATGAGGGAGGCTCCTCCCTCCTTAGGCCTGGGGAGCATAACTGGTCTGAAGGACTGAGAAACCTGGGGATAGTTGGCCAGCCATTGGGATTGCAGGCCTTGCCTCGGGCTGCCCTTGAGCTAGGGAGCCTCACCCTAACCCTCACACAGCCTAGATATCTGAAAAGACTCCAGATCTCGGAGGCAAATACAGCCAGCAGAGCTAAATCAAGAAGGCGGGGCTAAGGGAGGGGCCAGCAGGCAGGTGCCTTGCTCTAAGGAGGCACCTGTCTGAAGCGGTCTCTGCATGACCAGGCTGTGACGGAGACACATCCACCACGGAAATCCCAGGCGTCTCACAACTTTGGCTGCTCCCTATTTCAAAAGCCAGACTTGGACACCTGATCCACCTCCCCAACCTGGATTCTGGGATTCCTTACTTCTGAGCCTGGTTTTAGATCCTGCCAAAACCAGCCCTACTTTTCGTGCCTGGTGTTTTCCCCAGGGGCTGTCATCCTGGGCCATGGGCCAGAGGGCAGGCCCAGGACCTGGGCAACTGGAAGCTATGGCCTTTTTGCTTTTTCTTGGATTATTCCAAACGGGGATGGGTAAGTACACGTGAGTGGGGCATGGGAAGGGATCATGCCTAAGAGGGAGCAAACGTAATCCTTCCTAGGTGCACAGTCCTTATCCTGGGCTTGAGAATCCCAGGCCTCTCTGGAGCTGGCTTCCCTCTCCTTTTGGTATTGGCTCTACTAGGAAAGGGGCCAGTCCTCCAGAGAAGTGGCAGGTGCTAATGGGTCTTGGATCTCTGAGTTTCCTGCTTACCCCTCCCTCTTTCTTTTTTTCTCCAGGAGCTGACCCGACTGAAGGTAAGGCTTTCTGGGAAATAGAAGAGGGGGAAGGAAGGGGACATGGCTTCATATTCCCCAGTGGGTCTGAGGAGGGCCTGACCCTCTACTGGACTGTCTCACCACGGTATCTTAAATCTCCCAATAGCTCTGTGAGTGGGGCATATAGCCTTCACTTTATGGATTAAAAAATCTGAGATGCAGAGAAGCAGTGACTTGTTTAAGGGTATACAGCCAGCGAGTTGTAGAACTCTATTGAAACCCATGTCAGACTCCAAAAGTGGGGCACTCAAGGTCATTTTGAGGGACACAAATCCAGGGTCTTTTGAAGGTACACACACTGGCTTTGAGTCAGACTGGTTTTCAGGCCCAGCTTCATATTTACTGGCCACATTCCTTTACCTCTAAAATGGAGCTATCTCCATATCCAGGGGCGGTAGTGAGCTTTCTAGGTGATAAAGGAAATGCAAGCCCCATCTGGGCCTTCTGGAACACTCCCTAAGTACTAGCTATTGTCATGATTATGAAGGAGCAGAGGAGTCTGGCTGACAGTTTCTCTGCTCCTAGTGACTGTGAAGGGCATCTGGGCCCAACTCCACACTGGGGCCTTAGTTTGGGAAGGGCTGGTCTGTTCCCAGACACTAGCTATTCACATCATGGGATCCCAGTTCTGTTCATTTGTTCAACCATATTCACTGTGTGCTCAGGACTGTGCTGAGTATTGGGGACATAGAAATGTCCCTAAGGGGGGCTGGGATGTGGCTCAAGCGGTAGCGCGCTCGCCTAGCATGCGTGCGGCCCAGGTTCGATCCTCAGTACCACATACAAACAAAGATGTTGTGTCTGCCGATAACTAAAAAATAAAAATATAAAAAAAAAAAAAAGAAATGTCCCTAAGGAATGCCCAGGTTGCCGTGATTGAAAGAATCATAGACACCAGAACAACTGAGCCTGGGCAGGGGCCTAAGAGCTAAGAGCACAGAGGCAATGCCTGACTCAGCTGGCAGGGTCAGCACAGGTGACAGAGAGGCTGCCCTTTGAATGATCTCCACAGCCAAACAGAGCAAGGAGGGGAAAGGCTCTCAACTGTGAATGTCTTCCCAGCCTGGGTAGATGATAGACAGCTCTCAGGGTTTCAGCAAAGATCCAGAAAACAAGTGACTGAAATGTCCAGGATGGCTGGAGCGGATGGTAGTGCCATGGAGGATCTGGAATGTATCTTAAGCCATGAAAAGGTTTTGGAAACCGAGTGACTTGGCCAGATTTGTGCTTTATAAAGAATCTTCAGATTTTTAAGGGGTTGAACAGATAGAAAGCAGGAAGGCTTGAGGAAGGAGATCACCATGAGACTTGAATTGGGTAACAGGTAGTCGATAGCAAGGAATAGAAGTGCCCGTACCTGGGGAGCCACCACGGGGACAAAGTGGTGGCTGACCATGAACTTAACCACTTCCCAAACTCTAAACCAGATCTCCTGGAATGGCAGGGCTAAGGACCTGGCATGGAGGCCCTAGAAGGCCCTGATCTCCCTTTCCCTTTCTCCCTGGCAGTCCCCTGTGGTGTAGTTGTTCAAGCACGCATCACAGGTGGTAGCAGTGCAACTCCTGGTCAGTGGCCCTGGCAGGTCAGCATCTACTATGATGGCGTCCATGTGTGTGGCGGGTCTCTTGTGTCTGAGCAGTGGGTGCTGTCAGCTGCTCACTGCTTCCCCAGGTACT